TAACGCTTTAGACGCTTTATTCACTGTAACGCTTTAGACGCTTTATTCACTATAGCGCTTTAGACGCTTTTTTGACTATAACGCTTTAGACGCTTTATTCACTATAACATTTTAGACGCTTTATTGACTATAACGCTTTAGACGCTTTATTGACTATAACTCTTTAGACGCTTTATTGATTATAACACTTTAGACGCTTTATTCACTATATCGCTTTTTTCACAATAAAGCTTCAGACGCTTATACACTATGATGCGTTATTCATTATAACGCTTTATTCTCATCGTCGAAATGGCTTGCGTCCCGTGCGCGTGACCTTTCCGCATTAAAAAAAATCGCCTCGAGAGTCATCCTATCGTTCGTATACCATCTCCACCGTATTCGCCTTACTGAATATATATAGTTAATAAAAATACATATATAGTCGAAAGTCGTAACAAAATATCACACACACACACACATATATATATGCATACATATACATAGATATAGATATGCAATATATATTATATTGTTTATCTATCTATCTATCTATCTGTCTATCTAACTACATATATATATATACACACACACACATATATATAGTATATCTATCTATCTATCTATCGATCTATATTATATATATATATATATATAATATCGATCTATCTATCTATATATATATTTATATCTATTCATCTATATATATATATATATGTATATATATATATATATATATATATATATATATATATATATATACACGCACACACACACACATATATATATTTATATATATATATAATATCCTAACTTCTCGTTCTACCATTAGTGTTTTATCTCAGATCGAATGCCCTTGAGCGTCTGCGTCTTCGGTTTCGTTGAGCTATAGAGCACGCCTACTATTAAGCACCAAGTATACACAATCACCATGGAGTCTGACTGCAATCAAGGTTGTGCCCCTCCCAGTCGCGCTGTGTACTCCCGCCCTGCAGTACCGAACCTCTCCCGCATATCACGCAGGGTACCTGCTGTATCTGTATGGCCACCAACTATTACAGTTCCACTATGAAAGGGATGCGCATGCAGGAGCCAATACCACAGTGGGACCACATCACCCACCAAACAAAACAAAACTAGCCAAAACAAAACAGAACAAACCCCTACAAAGTATTCTGCCGCACACACACGGCACTTGTCTGGCTGCTTCCTCTGGCTATACCCTTTAGGCGATCCCTGTTGGAGTGTCGGGTGTCTCACCTAGGACGTTAAGTAGCTAAGTGGGTATAGTGGTAGTGTACTATATATCGTGATACACAGTTTAAAGGGGGTTCAAACTTATGATCATCTTTTGTTATTTTTCGGGTTCGTTTCCAATTTTGACTTTTTCTGCCCTTCCCCTCATTCTCCCCCTAACAAACATCTTTTTATTACAAATCCATAGCCCCCCTGGAGGGCTGGTACACTCGACTACATACGTACAGTAGCTGAAGTATATATACTACGTATAGTAGCTATAGTATATATATATACTTGTTGACAGCATATGAATGAGGCCCATTCCGATGCCATATAAGTACCTTCACCCATGCCATATAAGCACCTTCAACCATCCCCATAGTGCGCCATGCACAGTGTGTAGAGGCACGCGCAACAGGACAGTTTTCCCCGTCGTTCTATAAATAGCACCTGGTGAGTGACACCCGAGCCGCATCTGTCCATGCCACAGCCTCCTTCTGAGCAACTATGACGTACCTCAGAGACGCAGGGGTACACGCGCACAGACACACGAGCACTCACACACACACACGAGCTGTCAGCCTGCCCCATGTGTTGCTGTATATAAGTGCACAGTCAAGCTCTGTCGTACCTCTATACTAGAGAAAGCACAGTTTCTACCTACTGCGTACGTATCTTGTACATGTACATACAAACAACCTCTGTACACATAGCTGCGCCAAGCTTGCGCACGACCCATGGTATATCGGTGGTTGGACTCGCCGATTCGCCGGCTACTTGGTGACCAGCGACAGATCGGGCACTCGCACAGGAACGGGATCGATTCTTTATATACATACATATATATATATATATATATATATATATACAATGACCCATATATATATATAAATATATGTATACACTACACAATCTGGTCGTCGTTCTCAATGGCGGATACACTGGCCGCGGGAGCCTATAAGAAAAGGGAAGGCAAATAGAAATGAGTGCCTGATGGACCTTCATCTAAAGTGGTTTTAAGGGTTTCAAAGCCCTGGCTACTGTTTGATCTTGGGAGTCTTCTACTAACATGCTATTATCCCGTCTGAGAACCCACCTCTCTCAATCGAGGGGTGCCCTGCAAAGCAGCAATCAAATAAAAGGTTTGTGATGTGGGTCAATACATGCACAACGTGCAAGCTACAGCTGGGAGGGGTGCTATAGAAAGAAGGGTCTAAGCCGAATACGGAAACATACGTTGAAGCACACAGATTCTCACCACAGATTCTCATCACAGATACGATATATATATATATATATATATAAATTCGAGCACGCTAAAGCATACAGAAACAGACACAAACTTAACTTCAGTCACACATACAACAAATGCACAGACGCAACACGTATTCTACACACGAGCACATACAGATACAACGACACAACGTATTAGTTAGAGGCACAATTGACATAAAAACACATCTGAATGCACGGACCCAGACACAAACATCAATTACAGTCAGAAGCAAGTCCTCTACAAAAACGTACACGTGCTTACAAGCTTATAATGTATGGTTCAGAAGTAAAATTGTACAAACACACTCCCACATGCAAACACAGGATGCACTCACGCACACACAATAAGATGGCATACAAGTATGGTTCAGAGGTACAAATTCATAGACATAAGACAAACAAAACACGTACTCTCTCGACAAGCACACACAGATATATATATATATATATATATATATATATATATATATATATATACTACTATACTAACTATATCTACAGTAGTATACTAGTAGGTAGGTAGGGTTAGGTACGGTC